CCATTTTAATACTTTTTCCCTCCCTTTGAATCAAATGTTTAGGAACTTTATTGACTTTGTAAAATGCTCCGTGCATGTATCAAATGTTTCATTCATTTTAAGCAAAAAGGGATCCACTGGAGTAGAGGGGTCTGTTTTATATATTTATTCATTAGGATCATATTCTGTTCTGTTGGTATTTCTAGTAGTTTGGATATGTTGTGGCTTTCTGGTAATTGTCCTTATTGTTACTATTGTTATTGACTGCTCCTGCTATTCTATTGGTCCTGCAAAAATACTACTGCAACTACTGCATATATTCCTACTGCTGTTGTTGTTGCTACTACTACTACTGCTGCTGCTACTACTATTATTACTACTACTACTACTACTGCTGCTGCTGCTACTACTGCTACTACTACTACTACCACCACCACTACTACTACTACTACTACTACTGCCACTACTACTGTTACTACGACTACTACTACCACTACCACCACCACTATTACTACCGTTACTATTACTACTTCTAACTACCGCTGCTGTTTGGTGCAGCAGTAGTGATCTCGTCTATCAATCTTGCTGACCTGCGTTCAAATCCCTCGCTGCCAGTGGATGGTAACCCGACTATTCCTTGCACACAGGGTATAACATAGAAGCACAATGGAACAGACAGCATGTCATATCAAGAATATCCATTGCAACGAATGGAATAAAGTAATTCTTATTAAAAATTACCACTACTACTACTACTACTAATACTATTACTACTACTACTACTAATACTATTGTTGCTGCTACTACAACAACTATTACTACTATTAGTACAACAACAACTACTGCTGTTGCTAGAACTACTACTACTACAAAAGTTATTACTATTAGTACTACTGCAGCTGTCATTTACAGTATGTTTTATTTTGTCTTTCTTTTCTGTTGAGGGATTATCTTAAAACCAAATATAATCGGGTATGTCACTATTAAATACGACTTAATATTCAACTTCAATTCATTCACCTGACGCCTTTTTTCCTTGCAGATTCTGGCAAAGATTCGGTCTCTTCGCAATCATGGCGAGCTGCTGGTTGACGGAAGTGATATCGTCCATCGTGGGTTCCGGGGATTCGGAATTGTGGTGAGGAAAGAGGAGGAAAAGTCTTTGTTGTTTTCACTTACAGTTGTAGATTGGTTAAACCGCGGAGGACCATATTATTTTGGTTGTCGAGTTGTGAAGTGCTGTGCTTGTGATGGTGTACTGTTATAGGAGGTATTAAGTGTCTTCGTGTTGAGTTTCTGGCGAATTATAATGTTCGAGTAAACTATCAGTGTCATATGATAGCTTTTGAAATAAGTTTCCGATTATTATTATTATTTCATTTATTCTTTTTTTTTCTTTACTTTTCAGGGCAGTGACGGACACACTGAACACCTTCCAGGGAGTGTTCATCTTCATCACCTTCATCCGGAGCACGAAGCGCAGGCGGCTGGTCCAGGAGAGGCTGGAGGCGTGGGCGGAGCGGGTGGAGCGAGGTGGACTTCCGGCGCCGAGTCTTCCCGCGGGCATGAGTCCGAGTCACCTGCTGCATCGCCTGAGGGCTTCGAGCGTCTGGGCGTCCTTGGGCAGGGCACGCGACCGGGCGCCATGCAGGAGGAGACCACACCTCTCGTCGAAGCAGGTCCTCGACAACATCATCTTCAAGGAGAAGATGGAAGACAAGAAGGGCTTCAACAACCAGGCCTTCGAGGAGGAGGAGAGGGACGAAGACCCCGGCGGCGGCGAGTTCTCGAGGGCGGACTCCGTCAACCGGTCCGCCAGCCCGATCTGGACGGTGCCGCGCTGGAGGTCCCTCCGCTCGAACACCTACTTCCCGAACGAGGTCGGGGACAAGGACGACGCCAGCGACGCCCCTCGCAAGGACGACGACGTCATCTGCGAGAACTTCGTGGATTCTTTGAGCATCTACTCCAGCTACAGCGAGGACGGGGACCAGCGCAGTTCGTCCTCGGAGAACCCGCAGAACCAGAGGCCGATCTTCGCCCAGTGGAACCTTCTGCGCCTCAAGAGCGGGTCCCTGAACCTGCCGTCGGGAGGATTCGCAGGAGGGGCGGCGGCGGGGAGGTACAGTGACGTGGTTTGCCAGGGACTCACGCGGAAGGACTCCCTCGGCAAGAAGTGACGATTCTCAAGCTTTCCTCCAAGAAAACACAAACAGAACTCAGGGGCTGTTTCCTCGTGCGTAAGCTAACAAAAGGTTCTGGAGAGAGTTGTGTTGTATAAGGCCATTTCTGTTTACATATTCACATGGGTCAGACTGCAAAATGTATGAAAATCCATGTATATTTTTTCTCATGATGCATCCAACGGCGCTGTCAGCAGAGAATCAAATGATATTATTGTAATATCTATTTACCAATAAGATCACATTGCATGTAAGTATGTTTTTATATTGAATTTGTATGTTAAAGTGAATTAGTTTTAGATAACGAATGTACTTAAATGATGAATATTAAAACGTAGTGATAGGATAAGGAATCCATGACGCACCGTGACCAAGACTGCAAAGCATTTCTTAAAACATGAACCAAATTCCACGATTAAAAGAATTATTATAGTCCTATATGCAGTTTTTATACGCGATCTATTTATTTTCATCTTTATCTAGGTCTGTGAATTACCATTTTGTAATACATAACTTGAATGTTATGGTATCACAAATGAGGGAATGCTCATCCAGTGGTATTCGCAGAACAGTTACGTTTATTAAACATTTTGTTGATTTAAGCTTTCATCTATAACAATAATCGATATTTTGATGCACCACAAGTATGAGATAGAATGCATTAACTTGAACATATCAAAAAATGGTCTATGAATACCTTTGGAGGCGCAAACCTTCATATATTCCATTCGTAAATATATCCATCGTTACACAGAGGATAATACATTTACCATTTCCACGAGCGATTTTCTTTCATGTATTTACCAAAGCTTTAGTTCATAACTTCTTTTTGAAAGGTAATGCAATTAATTCTTGTTATTTTATAGGTCTATATTTTCAAAGAAAAATGTTTTTATATAATCATAAAAATATGAGGGGAACACAGTATGTATATGGCTAATAAATCAACCAAAAAATCATTATGATTTTTATTTTTAGGTTACAAATATTATTTTTACAATAGTGCACAAGGTATTTCTCGACACATGTACATATTACTACACATAAGGGGGAAAAAATATACTATTTACACATATGTACAACTTACTTAAAAAATGAAGTAAATATTACACAGTAAAGCAAACTTTTCCGTCAACTATATACACGGATATCAAACACTACAAGACTTAGCCTGGACACCCACCCTTGCTGCTGCCACCATTGCAACATAAATGAAGGGAGAGTTGAGAAATGCAGAGATGGGTAATGCACAATGGTAAATGCGAAAGGAAATGAATGACAATGGTATTCATAATAATAATAATAATGATGATAATCGCAATGATAATAGTACTGATAGGAAATAATGATAATCAAAATGGCGGACAATGCGCGCTCATAAAGTAGAGCCGATAATCATAAACCTTATAAAATAATGATTTTTTTTATTTTTGATTTCAGAGCATTACATTTCAATTTAACAATCTATTTATCTCTTGAGTAATTAGAAATAACTAAGTGTAATGATATTACAGATTTTAGTCAACAAATCTCTCAAAACACACACAAACAAGAAGGAAAGGACAAAAACACAATACGCAAGATAAAGTATAGTATTTTTTTCTGCAAGGGGGCAGGGGGAGGGGGGAGAGGAGCAGAAAAAGGAAGCTCAATACACAAACTTGATTATTGAATGTAGTATTTTTTTTTTTTAATCTGCCATCGTATCAAGTGTGTTTGTCATTCAAATCAGCACGCTTCAAGAGAAAGAGTCGACTTGATTTTTTTTACATAGGAGGATGTTAATGAATGACCAGAGAATGACCCGGAAATAAGTCAACCCAGCGATGGAAATTTCCACCCCGACAGCGAGTAGAAAAGAAAAATATGAATGAAATCGGACAATTCACAGAGCAAGGGAGAGTATTATTAATCCTCTCTGTTGTTATATCTTTATCAGAACTATTTACAAAAGCAGTCAAAAAACATCGAAACATGTACTTCTGTTTACGAGTTAACTAACAAAAACCGAACAATTCTGACGACATGACATCAAAACACTAACCGATGAAATCATGTCTTTTCATCCATACTTTTTTCTACACCTGTCTTAAAAAAGGAATTTTGTACAAGGTCGTACTGAGATAGCAACAGCCACACGAAAGTGAGTTTGAGAACCACTCTCCGCATTCTAATTGATCAGAACAGGAGGTGAGTTAAATATACCCTGGCGAAATATCTTTCAATTAAAAAAAAAAAGCTTTTGGCGGGAAAAAAGGTAAAGAGTTCAATCGTTGCTAATTCTCGAGTATGACAAATATAAAAAGCATGTGAGGATGTGGGATGGTTTTATTTGTTACTTTGTGGTTTGTGTGTTTTTTTTTGTTTGTTTGTGAAAGAGATAAGTTTGGTGATATTGTGACTATTTTTTTCGGTTTGTTTAAATGCTCGGTGGTTTTGATCTTAGGTGTTGTTCTCATCGGTGATTTACAACTTACAATTTATAACTAGTCGTTGCTCGTAAATCGGCTTGCCTTGTTCTCAGTTTAAAAAATTCATAATCATTTCCGAGGCTAGTCTGTTTCATTTCAGTTTGAACGATATTTTGCAACATCAACAAATCTTCAACTTTTATCAATGTTTAACTTCCAATATCAATACAAATATATACAATCCATCCAAACTTACGTATACATCACGCAAAGGACAGAATCTAAAACACACACACACAAACACAAACACAAACACACACACACACACACACACACACACACACACATACACACACCCACACACACTCCCCTCCCCCCATACACACCCCCACACACACTCCCCTCCCCCCCCATACACACACACACTATCTTTTACAACACAACATGACCCTTTTCTACACCACATATACACTTAAGTTCCCTTCTTTTCGTATAGGTCCTTGGGCTTCCTGCAGGATGCGCAGACGTGGGCCCATGGGGATGCCGATCTTCTGCAGCCTCTCCTCCGTGAGATAAGGGAGCTCCAGCATCCCGATCTTCTCCTGTTCAAATAGGCCGGCGTATTTCTGGGGGGGAAGAAAATGAGGATGTAAGTTATTAGTAAATTAATTGATCTGTTTGTCGGTTCGTCTTTTTTTATTACCATTGCTACTACTATTATTATCATTATTATTATTATTATTATTATTATTATTATTATTATTATTATATTATTATTATTATCATTATCATTATATTGTTATTATCATCACTAGTGAATTATCTTATTATTATTATTATTATCATCATTATTATTTATCATTAATATTATCATCATTATTATTTATAATTGTTATTATCATCATTATTTATTATTATTATTATTATAATCATTATCATTATTATCATTATTATTATTATTATTATCGTTATTATTATTATTAATATTATTATTATCGTTATTATTATTATTATCATTATTATTATCACTAGAAAATTATCCTTATTTATATTATTGTTGATATCATTATTATTATCATTTTCAAAATCATACTTTAGTTACTGTTGGTATAGTGCATGTTCTGTATTTCAAAAACTGTAAGCTTCATTTTCGTTTTCATAATAATAACAATAATAATAATAATAATAACAATAATAATAATAATAATAATAACAATAATAATAATAATAACAATAATAATAATAATAATAATAATAACAATAATAATAATAATAATAATAATAATAACAATAATAATAATAATAATAATAATAATAACAATAATAATAATAATAATAATAATAATAATAATAATAACAATAATAATAATAATAATAACAATAATAATAATAATAACAATAATAATAATAATAATAACAATAATAATAATAATAATAACAATAATAATAATAATAATAATAACAATAATAATAATAATAATAATAATAATAACAATAATAATAATAATAATAACAATAATAATAATAATAATAATAATAATAATAATAATAACAATAATAATAATAATAATAACAATAATAATAATAATAACAATAATAATAATAATAACAATAATAATAATAATAATAATAACAATAATAATAATAATAATAACAATAATAATAATAATAATAATAATAATAATAATAACAATAATAATAATAATAATAATAATAATAATAATAATAATAACAATAATAATAATAATAATAATAATAATAATAATAATAATAATAATAATAATAATAATAATAACAATAATAATAATAATAATAATAATAATAATAATAATAATAATAATAATAATAATAATAATAATAATAATAATAATAATAATAATAATAATAATAATAATAATAATAATAATAATAACAATAATAATAATAATAATAATAATAATAATAATAATAATAATAATAATAATAATAATAATAATAATAATAATAATAATAATAATAATAATAATAATAATAATAATAATAATAATAATAATAATAATAATAATAATAATAATAATAATAATAATAATAATAATAATAATAATAATAATAATAATAATAATAATAATAATAATAATAATAATAATAATAATAATAATAATAATAATAATAATAATAATAACAATAATAATAATAATGATGATGATAATAAATAGATAAATAAAATGTAAAAAACCCGCCGGGCGGCCCACCTCGTAGCCGAGCTTCCTCAGGAATATGCGGACGAGGGGCGGCTCGTCCCCGAAGAACTGCGTGAGCTTCTTGACTCTGCCAGGGTTGGAGAGGCCAGGAATCCCCGCTCTGAAGGACTCCCAGGACACGTGTGCAGCTCCTCGGCCCGCGCTCACTCCTCCTCCTCCTGCTCCTCCTCCTCCGCCTCCTCCTGCGCCTCCTACGCCGCCGGTCCTGAGAGCTGCTACCTCGCCGCGGATGCTCTCGATTTCCTAATATTGTGGGGGAATAGTTAGTATTTTCTTTGCTTTTTCTTTCACAAAAAATGGCTAACTTTACATATTAATTATCGTTAATATCCTCCTATATATATATATATACATATATATATATATATATATATATATATATATATATATATATATATATATATATATATATATATAAAATATATCGTGGGGGAATAGTTAGTATTCTCTTTGCTTTTCTTTACAGAAAATACCTATATTTACATACTAATTATCATTAATATCATCCTATATAAAACAAATATTTCGTGTACATTTTTCTAACAACCATGAGTAAACTGACAGCAGTTTTCTACATTACGATTCCAATCTGCTCTGAACTTGGATATTTATTTCCATTGGATTTTACATTCAAAACCTTCGTATGAGTATACCAAACACAGGAGATCCACAATACACACAACAGATTCATTGAAATGCGAGACAACAGCATCGAATTCCTCCCGATTTTATCTCCGTCTTTCAATAACCTTTTTTCTGTGTACAGCGGGTTATCCTGTCTATCCTTTCCTATCCTGTTCTGTGTCAAAACTATTTTTTTTCTAATCAGCCACGTTACAATACACATAAGAATTCAAACAAACGCCTTTTACTAAAAATAACTTACATACTTTCTAAACGGTATTGAAACCAGACATAGTATTTTCTTCTTCTTCTCCTTCTTCTTTTTCACTCAACAAAACCCTTATCCACAACAGCATAGTTGACTCACCTGGAACATGAGGTGCTGCGTCCGCATTTCTGAGCTCAGGTGGGCAACACTGCGGGCCAGGGTGACCACGTGACTCTCCAGGCGTTGGAATCGCTTGTGAATAGACTGTAGTGGAAAGAGTAGCTAGGGTTAGGAGGTGGATAGCGTGGAATTTGTAATGTTTTTGGGGAATGGATGTTGAAGATTTTTTTTCTTTTTGATGGGTGGAATTACGTGTTTTTGTGTTTATTTGTTTGATTTGGGAAGTATATAACAGGATATGACTTTTCAAAATTATTATTTCGACAAATATGTAATATTCCAAACATGTTATGCAAAAAGGATTTAAATTTAAAAAAACGAACTCTATTTCACGTAAAGCAAACGAAAGAACAAGCAATCGAATCCCCTTTACATTAAACAGAGAACAAACAGAAGAATAAACAATCGAATAAATCTCCCTTACCAAAAAACAGAAGAACAGCAAAATAAACAATCGAATCCCTTAAAAAAAAAAAAAAAAAAAAAAAAAAAAAAAAAACAGAGCAAATAGCAGAACGGACACTCGAATGCCCCTTTCCCTAAAACAAAAACAAAATCATAAACAATCGAATCCCTTAAAAAAAACAAAAAAAAAAAAAAACAGACACTCGATCTCCCTTCACCACTCACCTTTCCGTTATCTCTCCCGCCTTTCCTCACCCTGTCGTCTATAACGCGCCGCTTGTCTCTGCCGGGGCGCGAGGACATGATCGACGAAGGCAGCGAGGACAGGGACCCGTGCATGCGCCTGCGGGAGTTCTTCAGGTCCCCGATTCATTGAAATGCGAGACAACAGCATCGAATTCCTCCCGATTTATCTCCGTCTTTCAATAACCTTTTTTCTGTGTACAGCGGGTTATCCTGTCTATCCTTTCCTATCCTGTTCTGTGTCAAAACATTTTTTTTTCTACACCATGCGTAAAACTGAAACGCAGGTTTCTACCATTACGATTCCAATCTGCTTTGAACTGGATATTTATTTCCATTGGATTTTACACTCAAAACCTTCGTATAAGTATACCACACGCAAGAGATCCACAATACACACAACAGATTCATTGAAATGCGAGACAACAGCATCGAATTCCTCCCGATTTCATCTCCGTCTTACAATAAACCTTTTTTTCTGTGTACAGCGGGTTATCCTGTCTATCCTTTCCTATCCTGTTCTGTGTCAAAACTATTTTTTTTTTTTTTTTTTTTTTTTTTTTTTTTTTTTTTTTTTTTTTTTTTTTTTTTTTTTTTTTTTTTTTTTTTTTTTTTTTTTTTTTTTTTGCCTCCTCCTCCTCCTCCGCCGAGATGTCTTCCTCCGCGTCGCCCTCCTCCCAAGAGCTTCAGGACCTGAGAGAGGAAGAGATGAGGACGTGTTTTATTTATTTGGCTTTTTTTTGAGTGCGTGTGTGTGTGTGTTTGAGAGGGAGAGGGAGAGGGAGAGGGAGAGGGAGAGGGAGAGAGAGAGAGAGAGAGAGAGAGAGAGAGAGAGAGAGAGAGAGAGAGAGAGAGAGAGAGAGAGAGAGAGAGAGAGAGAGAGAGAGAAAGAGAGAGAAAGAGAGAGAAAGAGAGAGAAAGAGAGAGAAAGAGAGAGAAAGAGAAAGAGAAAGAAAGAAAGAAAGAAAGAAAGAAAGAAAGAAAAAAAAAAAAAAAAAAAAAAAAAAAAAAAAAAAAAAAAAAAAAAGAGAAAGAAACAGAAAATCAAAGACAAATACAGATATATCACCAACCGCGCCATTCCCTCCCTCGAGCCGAATGTCAGACCAAACTTCCCGAACTCCCCCGTACCTCTGAGTACATTCCCTCGAGGCCCTCCAGCTGCTTCCTGATGAGGTGGACGTCGGGGTCATAGGCGGAGGTGGCGTCGTCGTCGCTGGTGGCCTCCGTGGCTTCCCCTCCGTCGAGCATGGAGTCCAGGTCGAGGGCGTCGGTGGTGGAGGTGATCTCGCCAGCGTCCAGGTCCCCTCCACTCGGTCCTAGGGTCAGTAGAGGCTCTAAAATGTTACGGTGGATTTTTACTGACGGGGTTCAGTTTCGGTATTGCTTGCTTTTTTTCTTTCTTTCTTTTGGGGGGTGATTTTAATATGGTTTTGTATAAGTATAATTTTGATGTTTTTTTTTTTTATTTGTATGATTTTGTAGGGTTTGTATAATTTTGATGTATTTTTTTATGTGTATAATTTTGTATGATTTGTATAATTTTAATGTATTTTTTTTATTATTTTTACTAGATTTTTGTTAACTATAATCTTAATCAATATATTCTTAAATGTGGAATTCGTGTACTGTTTTAAATATAATATTAATATTTTATTCTACGAATACTGAATTCAAACATTTTTATATTTTTTTAAACATAGAATTCGTGTTTTTTTTATCAGCTTAAGGGGGTGAATATAATTATTTGATTATAAAAATATATGAATCTTTATTGCTGTTTCTCTTTTATACAATATAGCATTAAATGTAAAATGTCTGGACCGTATCGAGTGGGGGTGGGGGGTGGTGTCAGGTGTCTATATACTTTCCCCTTGCACGTTTTTTTCCATACTAAAGAAATAAAGATTTTAAAACATTTAACCCTAAAATCATGACTGGCAATGTCGATCTGTACTTTCTACTCGAATAAAAAGCGAGAATGGTTTTAATATCATCATATGGATCATATTTTTTATGCAAGTAACGCCATTTTATTTCACATATCATATTTCTTTTTGTATATACCCGTAACCCCCCACCTATTAAACGTATTAGATTTTATTTTATACCTGTAACTCATTTATTTATCGCATTTCATTTTCTAACTCCATTTTATTACACAAATCATATTTTTTTATGCATGTTACCCCATCTTATGAGTCGTATCACATTTTTTTTTATATATCTGTATCCCCCCACTTATTAAACTGATTACATGTAACTCATTCATTTATCCAATTTTATTTCCTTACCCCATTATATTACACATTTTTTATGTATACCTGTAGTCCTACTCCTATTAAATGTAATAAACTTTATTTTATACCCATTCTATTAGACACATCACACTTATTTTATACCTGTAACCCCCCCCCCCCCTTCTCATCCTGGACGCGGCCCTCCCTGTGCAACACCTCTGCAACCTGCACACGAACCCACCTAAATTAATCCTATTCTTGTTCTTGGTGAGCGGCTCGTGGTTGGCGCTGCGTTGCCGTTCCTCCTCCTTCCTGCGAGACCAGCCTCCTGAAGGACCTCCTGTGGCCCTGTGATTGCTGCTTCCGCCTCCTCCCGAGGGCGCGGCGTTCCTGTGGGAGGTCAGAGGATTTAGCGCTCGAGCGAAGACTTTGGGAGGATTAGAGTCACTGCATCTTGGCGAAAATGTAATAGCTGGTGTGAGATAGATTTATGAATAAATCAGCCTATTTATATTAATTAAATAACCTAAAAACAGTTTAAAGAAAGTGAGATTAATGTTACTACGTTTGAAGTGAAATATGGATGAAATATATGAATAAATCTGCCTAATAAAATAAATAAATTAATTAATAAAACAACCTAAAAACTTGAACAAAGGACATTTCACAAACTTAACCCCAAACACCACTCCTAAATACCAATGGAAATCCATCCTACAGGAACCTCCTCCTACAAGAAAAAACAACACAACTTCCTACCCTGCGTGCGAGTGCTGCGTCTGCGTCGTGCCTCCTCTTCGGGGCGTGGACTGAGAGCTGCCCTGGGAGCTGTTCCCGGCACGCCCTTCGCCTCCTGCACGGCCTCCTCCGTCGCGCCCCGCCGCCTCCAGGAGGTCTGGCTTGTTCAGGCCGCCGACGCTGTCGTGTGGAGCGCAGGATAAGGATTCGGTTTTATTCGCAATGGAGGTAGTTTTTCGCACAGTAGTTGCAAAATATTCTTTCATATGGTAAAAAGAACATGTGGCTTTATTCGCAATGGAAAAAAAAATGTTCTTTATAACGACACTTACCAATGGGATACATTAAACTTAGCTAGGCTCTATCCGTACCCACGATTAATGCTACATATCCATACCATATTTTCCACATACCTGTAGGATAGGTTGTATTTTCTGTGTCTGCCGGGGGAGTTCTGCGGCGACGCCTGAGGAGAGCCCTCGGGCGAGAGCGGCGGCAAGGGCGGCGTGGCGGCCAGGGACTCGCGCCGCACGAGTCCTCCGCCGCCGGACTTGCTCTCGGCTCCCTTCTTCATGATGCGCTGCAGCTCCGCGTCCGTCATGTCCACCCACTCGGAGTCGTTTCCTGCGGGGGAGGACGGGGGAGGTTAGGGAACCGACGGGGAATTGATTTTTGATTTCTTATGTCTAGTTATGGCTGAAAAAAGACCGAGATATGACTTTGATCAGTTTTGGAGTATGCGGCTTTTCGCCACTTCGCTGCTTAATTTATTCATTTATTTATTCTTTAACTACTTTATTTTGATCATTATTTTCCACTAGGCGTCAAATTCGAGTGCTGAGGAGCCTCGACTGGAGCCGCACCTGAGGAGTGTCCCTGGTTGTTCTGCCTCTGCGACGCGGCGGAGTCCAGGCTGGTGTCGAGGGCGTGGGCGGCGCGCCCCTCGCCGCCGCTGCCGGCCGTCCCGCGCCCCGAGTCCGAGCCCCCGGACCCGCCGCCCTCGCCGCCCGCCGGCTGGCCGCGCCCCCCGGTCACGGCGGGGCCGGAGTAGGTGTGGTCGGAGGGCAGCGCCTGCGCGTCCGCAAGGTTGTCCACCGAGTAGTGGTGCGGCCGCCAGCTGGGGCCGTCCTGACGCAGCTGCGCCAGGTGGTGGTACGAGCCCGACCTCCTGCTGGCGAGGCCCCGGCCGAG